ATATAGGTCCACGATATCGTATAGCCCCCATATAACGGTGCTCCCGATGTTCGGTATTTTGATGATTTTACCCACATTTTTCAACGGAATTGTCTGAAAATCCACACAAGGAGTTCCTTGTAGGTACTTTATACCTCGGCAGAGAATTATCTATATAGGTTCACAATATCGTATAGCCCCCATATAACGGTACCCCCCGATAATCGGTATTTTGATGATTTTAGCCACATTTTTCAACGGAATTGTCTGAAAATCCACACAAGGAGTTCCTTGTGGGTACTTTATACCTCGGCAGAGAATTGTCCATATAGGTCCACGATATCGTATAGCCCCCATGTAACGGTACCCCCCGATATCCGGTATTTTGATGATTTTACCCACATTTTTCAACGGAATTATCTGAAAATCCACACAAGGAGTTCCTTGTGGGTACTTTATACCTCTGCGGAGAATTATCTATATAGGTCCACAATATCGTATAGCCCCCATGTAACGGTACCCCCCGATATCCGGTATTTTGATGATTTTACCCACATTTTTCAACGGAATTGTCTGAAAATCCACACAAGGAGTTCCTTGTAGGTACTTTATACCTCGGCAGAGAATTATCTATATAGGTCCACAATATCGTATAGCCCCCATATAACGGTACCCCCCGATAATCGGTATTTTGGTGATTTTAGCCACATTTTTCAACGGAATGGTCTGAAAATCCACACAAGGAGTTCCTTGTGGGTACTTTATACCTCGGCAGAGAATTGTCCATATAGGTCCACGATATCGTATAGCCCCCATGTAACGGTACCCCCCGATATTCGGTATTTTGATGATTTTACCCACATTTTTCAACGGAATTGTCTAAAAATCCACACAAGGAGTTCCTTGTGGGTACTTTATACCTCGGCAGAGAATTGTTTATATAGGTCCACAATATCGTATAGCCCCCATATAACGGTGCCCCCGATGTTCGGTATTTTGATGATTTTACCCACATTTTTCAACGGAATTGTCTGAAAATCCACACAAGGAGTTCCTTGTGGGTACTTTATACCTCGGCAGAGAATTATCTATATAGGTCCACAATATCGTATAGCCCCCATATAACGGTACCCCCCGATAATCGGTATTTTCATGATTTTAGCCACATTTTTCAACGGAATTGTCTGAAAATCCACACAAGGAGTTCCTTGTGGGTACTTTATACCTCGGCAGAGAATTGTCCATATAGGTCCACGATATCGTATAGCCCCCATATAACGGTGCCCCCGATGTTCGGTATTTTGATGATTTTACCCACATTTTTCAACGGAATTGTCTGAAAATCCACACAAGGAGTTCCTTGTAGGTACTTTATACCTCGGCAGAGAATTATCTATATAGGTTCACAATATCGTATAGCCCCCATATAACGGTACACCCCGATAATCGGTATTTTGATGATTTTAGCCACATTTTTCAACGGAATTGTCTGAAAATCCACACAAGGAGTTCCTTGTGGGTACTTTATACCTCGGCAGAGAATTGTCCATATAGGTCCACGATATCGTATAGCCCCCATGTAACGGTACCCCCCGATATCCGGTATTTTGATGATTTTACCCACATTTTTCAACGGAATTGTCTGAAAATCCACACAAGGAGTTCCTTGTAGGTACTTTATACCTCGGCAGAGAATTATCTATATAGGTTCACAATATCGTATAGCCCCCATATAACGGTACCCCCCGATAATCGGTATTTTCATGATTTTAGCCACATTTTTCAACGGAATTGTCTGAAAATCCACAAAAGGAGTCCCTTGTGGGCATTTTACCTCCTCAAAATGAAGTGTCTATGTAGGTCCACGATATCGTATATCCCACATATAACTGTAACCTCCGATATTCCGTATTTTGATCATGTTAGCCACGCTTTTCGATGGAATTGTCTTAAAATCAACACAAGTAGTTCCTTGTGAGTACTTCACCCCCTGAGAGAGAATTGTCTATACAGGTCCACGATATCGTATATCCCCCATATAACGGTACCTCCCGATATTCGGTATTTTATGATTTGACCCACATTTTTCATCGGAATGGTCTGAAAATCCACACAAGGAGTTCCTTGTAGGTACTTTATACCTCGGCAGAGAATTATCTATATAGATCCACGATATTGTATAGCCCTCATATAACGGTACCCCCGATATTCGGTATTTTGATGTTTTTAGCCATATGTTTCAACGGAATGGTCACAAGGGGTTCTTTGTACACAAGGGGTTCTTTGTGAGCACATTACCCACCGACAGAGAATTCTCTATATAGGTTAACGATAACGTATAGCTCCCATATAACGGTACCCCGCGATATTCGGTATTTTGATGATTTTAGCCACATTTTCCAATCGAATTGTCTGAAAATCCACTCACGAAGTTCCTTGTGAGTACTTTACACGCAGACATAGATTTGTCTTTATAGGTCCACAATATCGTATATCCCCCCATATATCGGCACCTTCCTATATTAGATATTTTAAAGATTTTAAAAGAATTTTTATTGGATTTTATTTTTTTGAAAATTTTCTAATTCGTTCCAAATGGTGGAGGGTATTCAAAGTTCGGCCCGGCCGAACTTACTGCTTTTTTACTTGTTTTTTATTAAATTGTTTGCTGAATCATTTCGCGTGTACAAAAATTATCACTTTTTTTGTTATCTTCAAATATACGCTAAGAATACCCAGTAGAAAAACATGTTTACAATTGCATTTTCTTGATTAGTTGAGATATTCTCATGCCAGCCATATAGTGGAACTGACTGACCAGTAAAATGTCATAATTTCTCCAGTGCATAAAATATTTACTGCCTTTCCCCGTTTCCCTTTCAATATATGAATATTCTATTAACATTCATCCATTGTGAAGCTACTTTTTAGGCGTCCCCAAGAGAATTTAACACAACATTTCTATGTATTGATAACAATATATTAGTAAGAGGTTTAGAATATATTCTACTTTTGTGGAGTGTCAGTAATGCTATTTTCGCTGAAATGTAAAATGAGTTTCCAACAAAAACTTGGGAGTTACATCAGCCGAATAAGGGGTATTACAAATTATATAAAAGGTTATATTGACAAAGTATAATATGTATTACCAGTAGTATGAAATAATTCTTTAAAAAATAAAAATCAAAAGAACTTATTTTTATCATTACCAAGTGATGAGTTAAGTCGGCGCAAAGTGTGCGCTTTCGACTACAAAACAGAAGTTTGTGAGTATGAGACGCAGCGTCGGCAGACGAATAAAAACATAATAAAATACGATTATTTATTGATGTAAGGTTATTATATCCTCCTCGAAATACTCAAGTTAGACGCTACAAAGTATATATACAGGGCGAGATGAAAAAACTGCAACTATAGATTGCTGTCATTTCTAAGCCACTCGTCCGACAGCTGTTAAAATTATTTCAGTGACAGCTCATTATACTGTTTACAAGCGTACAAAAGCATTTTGTTGAGAATTTTCCAGAAAAAAAGTTATTCGTGGAATTCAAGCGTGATAATGTGCTTTCTTTATATTTGGCTGAAAAACCACAAGTAGCTAGCGTTAGAGCACTCCAGCATTTAAATGTGAATAAATCTTTTGTGTCTTGTACCATCGCTCGTTACAGTGATACTGGTAGCGTAGCCCGACGTCAAGGAAGTGGACGGAAGAAAACAGTAACATCAGCAGAAATGGTTCGAAAAGTAAAGAAGCGACTTGATCGAAACCCGAAAACTGACTCGTGAGCTGGACATATCGCAATATTCCATTCGGCAAATAATGAAAAATGAGCTCGGGGTAAAGCCATTGAAATTCCAAAAAATGGATAAACTTACACCACAACAGAAAGAAAATAGACTCAAAAGAGCTAAAGAGTTGCTTCGTTTGGCCGAAAGTTTGGTTTTCTCCGATGAGAAACATTCGTTTGTAAACAAACCAAATGATCGTGTTTACTGCCAAGGAGGTCAGCTGATAATGTGCACCTTCGGTTGGCCACCAGAACTCAAGCGCCGGCCATGGTGATGGTGTGGGCCGCCATAACAGCCGATGGTCAGAACAAATGCCGAATATTATCGAGAAAATATTCTGGAGGGTGTAGTAAAGCCTTGGGCACGCAAACATTTTGTCCGCAGACCTTATACTCAGCACCATCGCACTCAGCACGCGCCACCCAAGAATGGTTACAAAATGAGGTTCCTCTCTTCATTTCCAGCGCACAATAACCACCAAATCTCCGGATGCTAATCCGTTGGACAGTTGTATCTGGAGTATTTTGGAAAGCAAGATTGGCACTAAAAATAACAAAGTGTCGATCACCTCAAGCAAGCGCTTCGCCGGGCCAAATTACCTCAGAGCAACCAACATTCGGGCAGCGTGTGATGGTTTCATTGGCCGTTTGAAGGCAATAATTCGCACCAAAGGTGACCAATTCGAACAAATCTAAACTTATTCTAAAATTTGATGCTATTTTCGACCTTTTTGCTTTCATTCAATAAAATTAAAAAAAAAAAATGTAAAAATTATGGCGTTTGACTTTGTTGCAGTTTTTTTATCTCACCCTGTATATGCCAAAACCAGAAGTTTAACTTAAAATCAACTAAAATACAACTCTGTGCTAGACTTATTGTGTTAAATAGACTTTTAAAGCATGCAACAATTTCTTTTGTTCATATTTTTACAAAATTATTTTATTGAGGAAAACAACAAAACATTAATGAAATGTTGGGGTATTCCACAATCCATAATAGGAGGACAATGTTGTTTAATTCCAAAATTATAAAATTTATTGCAACTGAATTTTACATAATTTAAATTTTTTTTAACAATGCGCACATACACATTGATAGAATGGGGCCACCAAAATATAAATTTTTATTTTCAATCAATGTATTTAATCAGAAAAAAATCGCCAGATTAGCAACAGTTAATTTCACAGATAGTGAACAGCCACCCGGTTGTTTATTAAAGCAACTATTATAAACAATTCCATTTAGTCGTTCGTCGCATTTCATAGCGTTCACTACCCCGCTAACGGAATTCTAAACAGAACTGCTGCAGCTAATTTATTCGACGACAAAATGGGAAAACTTGTTCTATACGGCTTAGATCCCAGCCCACCGGTACGTGCTTGTTTACTCACATTGAAAGCTTTGAATTTACCCTATGAATATAAAGTGGTTAATTTGATGGCTAAGGAACATTTGTCGGAGGAATATTTGAAAAAGAATCCCCAACATACCGTACCCACACTGGAAGATGATGGACACTTCATTTGGGATTCACATGCCATTATCGCGTATTTAGTTAGCAAATATGGCAAAGATGATTCGTTGTATCCAAAGGATTTGCTTAAACGAGCCGTTGTTGATCAACGCATGTATTTCGAAGCTGGTGTCCTATTCCAAGGCGGTCTACGCAACATTACAGCTCCTTTGTTGTTCAGAAATCAAACACAAATTTCTCAACATCAAATTGATGCCATTGTAGAGAGTTATGGTTTCCTGGAATCATTCCTTAAGGACCACAAATACATGGCTGGTGATCATTTGACCATTGCCGACTTGAGTATCGTAACAACGGTAACTTCATTGGTGGCTTTTGCTGAAATCGATGCATCCAAATTCCCAAAACTGAGTGCTTGGCTGAAAAGTATGGAAACATTACCATACTATGAAGAGGCCAATGGAGCAGGTGCTAAGCAATTAGTGGCAATGGTGAAATCCAAAAATTTTACAATTGTACCTTAAATAGCATGAAGTGAAATAAATTAGGAAAAATAAAAAAGTAAATGTAAAATTAAAAAGAAAACAATATTTTATTATACTTTGTGAGACGCAGGAAAATGTGAAATTTTGGGAATTGTTTTTTTTTTTAATGGATTTAATGTTGAGATTGAAGATTGTACTTTGCTAAAGTCAACTTCAGTTTTATATATTGTAGAATGCTTTGCTATAATATTTGTCATATATATGTTTCGTATATACAGGGTGAGATGAAAAAACTACAACCAACTTCAGAATGCTGTCATTTCTAAGCCACTCTACCAACAGTTGTTAAAATTATTCCAGTTACAGCTCATTATATTTTGGTGAGAAATTTCCAGAAAATGAGCTCAGCTAAAAGCCATTGAAATTCCAAAAAGTGCAAAAACTCAAAAAAATAGTCTCAAATGTGCTAAAGAGAAAAAATTCGTTGTCCAGCAGTTTGTAAACAAAAAAATGACACTGTGTACTTGCCAAAGAAGTCAGCTGAAAATGTGCACTTTCGGTTGGCCAACAGAACTTAAGCGCCGGCCATGGCGATGGTGTGGTCGCAGATCTTGGACAATTTGGCCGCAGACCTTGGACAACAGGACTCACGCGCCACCCAAGAATGGTTACAAACTGAGGTTTTTCGCTTCATTTCCAGAGCACAATGGCCACCAAAATCTTCGGATACCAATCCGTTGCACTATGAAGTATTAAATAAATACCAAATTGACGATCAATTCGTACCAAAGGTGACCAATTCGACCAAATCTAAACTTATTCTAAAATTTCGTGCTATTTCCGACATTTTTTGCTCTCATTCAATAAAATTAAAAAAAATGTAAAAATTATGGCGTTTGACTTTGTTGCAGTTTTTTATCTCACCCTGTATTTTTATTGACCCAGGGTCTATTGTGAAGATGGAATATATCGGCCCACTGCTTTTGGTACCTCTCCAAAAGGGGTCAACATTTTAAATATCCATGAAGCTTATAAAACGCGAAATTAATATCCGATTCCATTCAGACTTGGCACATCTCAATATTTCTATTTTATTTTTTTATAAAGATGGTACCTCATGGGAAGTGCCTGTCATTAACCCCTCCCCACCCCACATAGGGTTCAAGCATCCAACTCTCTCCAAATTTCACACATACAAACAAAATTCTGAAACTTGATATAGTTTGGACACAAAAATTGGAAATGGGTCCATTGTGCTACGATTTTATTAATTTCCATCTCGGCAAACTTTAAAATGAACGATTTTGAAGATTTTTTGCTATAATTACTTTCGAAAAAGAAAGATCTTCAATAATATATAAAACTTCAAAAGTCTGAAAATTTTGTATGATGTATAAAGTTTTGGTTGAAATTGTTTTTTCAAATTAACTAAATTGTGCATTATGGGTATTAAAAAGCCTAACACGAACTGTTGGAACGAATCTAAGATTATGTAATCAATATAAAATTTAAGAAATTTTCGCTGACGAAGTAGCGGACACTTGCTAGTTCTTAAATAAAATCTCAAAGAGTAAATATCAGCAAATATTTCTATTCAATTTCAGAACAGTTATTTTTAAATACCAACATTAATTTCTTTATGATGAAGGGTATACACATTTCGGCCTAGCTGCATTTAACGCCGCACATTTTGTTTTTATTATTATTTATAACCAGGTAAGAGGGGAAAAGAGAGTTGACAACAAAATATTCATTATCAATAATCTTCACTGAAGTGTTTTTAAATTACTCAACAAATGAGAGGCAACTACAGCAATGAGACTTGCGGAATGTATAATATTTATAGTGTTGCCACTGGTCAACGTAGACAAATCGCTATTGTTTTTATTTTTGGCCTTGAGGGCAAGAAATAAATACCAAGAAGTAAAATAGCAGTAAGTTAACATTGAATACCCTCCACCATTTGGAACGAATTTGGAAATTTTCAAAAAAAAAAAAATAAATAAATAAAATCCATTAAAAATTCTGTTAAAATCTTAAAAATACCGAATACCGGAAAGTCCCGACATATGGGGGATATACGATATTGTGGAGCTATATAGACAAATCAATTTCTGGGGGTAAAGTACTTCTAAAGAAAATGTAGCTAAAATCATAAAAATGTCGAATATCGAGTGGTACCGTTATATGTGGGCTATACGATATCATGGACCGATATAGCCCATCTTCGAACTTGATCTGCCTGCAGACAAAAAACACCCATGTGCAAAATTTTAGCTTCCTATCTTAATTCGATTTGACTGTAGCGTGATTACAACAGACGGACGGACAGGGCTAAATAGTCTTAGAATTTTACGCTGATAATGAATATATATACTTTGTTGGGTCTAAAATTATTATTTCTATGATATACATACGGAAATTAATATACTCTCCATACTATGTATGATGGAGGGTATAAAAACCTTACGTAAATAATAGATGTGTTCGATAACCCAATATTTTGTTCAAAATATTAAAAAATATTGTTCGATAACCTAAAAGTCCAGTAAATGCGAGCGTTTTAATAGTTGAGTTACTGAAACTTTGCAAAATCATACAGGATAAATTTTCTGAATAAAAATTATTCAGCAACATCAACTGACATATGTTTTGTGGCCGTCGTTAACGATTGTAAAAATGTTTACAAATTACAAGGAAGAATTCAATTACTAATCATGTATACACATACAAACATTAAATAATTAATTTTAAAATATAAACATTGTAATTTATTGATGGTTCAGTTCAGTTGAAATAGGTAACGCATACATTTTGCGAAACAGATATTTTCAGTCTATATTTTACTGAACGTTGTTTGATAAATGTTTTAAAAATTGTCACACGAGAGAAAAAATTCTCTCAGTATAGGTTATTGAGTAATTTTTATCTGGAAAAGTTAGCGTACACACCTAATGTGAATGGAATTATTAAATCAGAAGTATGGTTGTGTAAATTGATGTATTTGTATATGTTGTCAATATATGGGTATGCATAGAGAGAAGTAAAAATCGCTAAAATAGTAACACTTAATCTCGTAGATAATTGATGCTAGTAATTGTTTAATACAAAATTTTCATTTTATTTAGTAGTTCTCAACATTTCATAGCGTTCACAAGTTGTAACGGAAATCTTGACAAAAGTGCAAAATTAATTCAATACTAATACAATGGGAAAACTTGTTTTATCGATCCAAGTCCACCTGTTCGTGCTTGTTTGCTTACTTTAAAAGCCTTAAATTTGCCCTTTGAATATAAAGTCGTAAATTTATTTGCCAAGGAACATTTGTCGGAGGAATATTTGAAAAAGAATCCCCAACATACAGTGCCCACACTCGAGGAGGATGGTCATTTAATTTGGGATTCTCATGCCATAATGGCGTATTTGGTTAGTAAATATGGCAAGGACGACTCGCTGTATCCAAAGGATTTACTTAAACGGGCCGTGGTCGATCAACGCATGTACTTCGAAGCTGGTGTCTTATTTCAGGGAGGTTTACGCAACATTACCGCCCCATTGTTCTTTAGAAATCAAACCCAGATCCCTCAACATCAAATCGATAGCATTGTGGAAAGTTATGGTTTTCTGGAATCTTTTCTGAAAAACAATAAATATATGGCCGGAGATCATTTGACCATTGCGGATTTTAGTATTGTAACGTCGGTAACCTCGTTGGTGGCATTTGCGGAAATCGATCAATCTAAATTTCCCAAGCTGAGTGCATGGCTGAAGAGTCTCCAATCATTGCCATTCTACGAAGAAGCTAATGGAGCAGGTGCTAAGCAATTAGTGGCCATGGTGAAATCGAAGAATTTAACAATTGTACCTTAGATATAAAGACATTTTGTTTGGAAAATTGTTAAAAATAAAGAGAAAAGTTGGTTAAGGTGGTTGAAAGTATTACTCTCCTGTGCATTTTTTACTAATAGGAGATGTGGGAGTTGATTTGGAAGAATTGAATCAAATATGTACTAAATTTTAAAAGATAGGCATATTGCTTGTTTTACAAAACTGTTAAAAACCGCTACAGGTAATAACAATTTATTTTCATTTCCAGAAAATGCACTGACAGCTGCTAAACACCATCATTACTAAGACATTGTAATGTTTAATACAAATACAAAGACAAATGAATGACAAGTAGACAATTGGAGGGATAATTATTAGCAACGTCCATTGAATCGTTTTCGAATTACTTAACTGATAATAATGAATTGCAAAGGTAGCTAAATTAACAATCACGATAGAGGTATATTTATACTAGGTATATGCATGAATTATCAACCCAACATTGTTGTTATAAAAATTAAATTGTCAATAAAATAATTGAAAAAATAAAGCAAATATTTTTCCTGAAGTCAATATGCATTTCAAGTAATATCGCCAATATAGATTTTGGTAGTTTAACCGACTGGTGAAGTTTGAGTTTTCGTTTTTACTAGCTACACCGCCAAAAATTGGTCAGGAAAATCGTTATTTGGGATACAGTGTGAGATAAAAAAAACTGCAAAAAAGTCAAACGCTGTAATTTTTACAATTTTTTTTAAATTTTATTGAATAAAAGCAAAAAATGTCGCAAAATAGCATCAAATTTTAGAATAAGTATAGATTTGTTCGAATTGGTCACCTTTGGCAAGAATCATGGCCCTGCGGTATTTTGGCCCATTCCTGCGAATCGCTTGCTTGATGTGATCGACACTTTGGTATTTTTTAGTGTCAACCTTGCTTTCCAAAATACTCCAGACACAATAGTCCAACGGATTGGTATCCGGAGATTTCGGTGGCCATTGTGCGCTGGAAATGAAGGAAGGAATCTCATTTTGTAACCATTCTTGGGTAGCGCGTACTGAGTGCGATGGTGCTGAGTCCTGTTGGAGTGTCCAAGGTCTACGGTTAAGATGCCCAAGGCTTTAATACACCAAATTATTTTCGCGATGATATCCGGTATTTATTCTGATGCCACGGTCGATTAATACGAGCGGAGAGCGACCTTCGGCTGTTATGGAGCCCATACCATCACCATGGCCGGCGCTTGAGTTCTGGTGGCCAAACGAAGGTGCACATTTTCAGCTGACCTCTTTTGCAAGTAAACACGA